TTTGTAAATGAAACTTGATTTCCACCAGCTGACTTGATTTGCCAGGTTTTGTAATGGCTGGCATGTTGTACCAGACATCTTTATCATTTTTTATCAGCTCCATAAGTCACAGCTACTAACATCCTGTGACAGACACATTACACAATGCACAGTACAATTTGCTGCACTTGACAGCGATCCAGGCGCTGATCTGTGAATAGGCCACATAAGTCCAGACACAGAGTAGGAAAATTATAGATGGTGCCTAACTGCCATTATTTGCAGTTATACATAAGTGTTTGTTACATAAGCCTGCTAAGAAGATGTCATTACTATTTCATGCGTGGTTTATTTTATACAAAGTGATCAGAACTGACAAGCAAACAGCAAGCCTCTGAACCAATTTTTAGCTATTGAGGTAGTGAACAAAGGGAGCAGTAATTCACTAAAAGACTACAATATAAAATTCATCAGCCAATAATTTTGGTATTCAGCACAGGGAACCTTTTTTAAAATAACTTTCTTTATAATGTTAAAGCAGGATTAAAATGTCCAATGCTCACCTTCCCTCCAGTGACTCAACATCTGTGAGCTTCTTTACTGGTACCAACATCTTCTCTCCAGCTTCTTCCAGGTATGACCATCTGGTTTGGTTAGGCTGGGATGACCTAACTCCTGCACATGCACACAGGAATCCTTTCATCCCAAAAAGGTGTGTGCCAAGAATGTACTCTGAGCTGTGCATACACAGATACTGTATATAATATGTTTCCTCTGCAATAGAAATCCTTTCTACTCGCAAGCTTTTAAATTCAAGGTTAAGTTCCACTTAAAAAAAAAACCTTTATCCTGAGCATTGTTACCCTAAGACAGGAACTGGCTGGCTGGCCAAGTGAAATTAAAGTGCTACTAAACCCACAACAGTAAAAGCAGTCTGTACAGTGCTCAGCAAAAATGAGTACTCCTCTTTTGAAAAGAAAGCTGTAATCAATATCTCAATGAACCACAAGAAGAATTTCCAAAATTTTGACAAAACTAAGTTTTATAGAACATCTGTGTAGCACATTACATGAAAGTAAGGTTAGTAATATAACTTAGGTAACAAAATCTTCAATTTTACTCAAATTAGTTGATGCAAAAACAAATACACCCCACAACAACAAAAACTATTCCATCTAGTATTTTGTATGACCTCCATGATTTATAGGGACGGCGCCAAGTCTTCTAGGCACGGAATGAACAAGTTGGCGACATATTGCAATATCTATCTTTTTTTTCCATTCTTCAAAAATGACCTCTTTTAGAGCTTGGGTACTGGATGGAGAGTGATGCTCAACTTGTCTCTTCAGAATTCCCCATAGGTGTTCGGTTGGGTTCAGATCAGATCAGGACTGTATACATACTTGGCAACAGTGGCCTTAGATGTGTATTTTGGATCGTTGTCATGTTGGAAAAAGTTCACGATGACCGAGAGTATGGAGTGATGGTAGCATCTTCTCTTTCAATATGGAGCAGCACATCCGTGAATTCATGATACCATCAATGAAATGCAGCTCCCCAACACCAGCAGCACTCATGCAGCCACACAAACGGACACTGCCACCACCATGTTTCACTGTAGGCACCATGCATTTTTCTTTGTACTCCTCACCTTTGTGTTGCCATACAGTTTTTAACATTTACGTTGGTCTCATCACTCCAGAGTACAGAGTCCCAGTAGTCTTTTTCTTTTTCAGCATGTTTCCTGGAAAATTCTAGGTGGGCTTTTTTGTGCATGGGCTTTGGGAGAGGCTTCCTTCATGAACGACACCCATGCATGCCATTCCTCTGCAGTGTACGCTGTATTTTGTCAAACACAAATCTTGTTTGCATTCAATGGCCCGCATTTGCAGGAGTATTTTGTAGTATAATGCCCCATAAAAATGTTGATTCTGAAAGGAAAGTACATTTTTTCTGACAAATCTGTTGGAGTGTACTCATTTATGCTGAGCAGTATATATGCAGTAAAGCATGCTTGTTATACTCACTGTGGAACATAAGTGGTCAATCCACCACATTGTATAAAAAGGCTGTTTGATCCTGTCTTCTCTGATCCTCTCTTTCTTTCACAGTCCCCAATCCATCTGCTGACAGCACAGAACCTTGGAGGCAAGCTGCACATGCTCAGTTTGTTGTGTATTGCTAATTCTTTTTTCATGAGAAAGTGCATGTGATCAGCACAGGGACAATGAGCACTATCCAGACAGAGTGTTAGGAGTTAAGCAGTCTCATTGGACAATGAGGAGAAAATGAAAACTTCTCCTACAAGCTATAACCAGTGTCTGCTGGACACTGATAGAAGTCACAAGACTGCTATATTCTGCTGATGTGAAAAGGTATTTAGCAGTTTATATTTACCAAAATAATTGCATTTCCATGTTCTGTGTACTATGGGAGACTCGATATAGTGAATGCAGGGTCCTGGGTTTAGGAACCCTTTAAGGGGAAAAAATCCTGAAATAAATCACCAATGCAGCCACCAAATGTATGGACTGGTAAACAGCAATATATGACATTTTTGGTGTTTTAATTGGCTTTGATACACTTTAATTGCTAGTACAATGAATTCAGGCATTGTTACATTTTTTTTTTAATAAAAACTGAAACAAATGTGTTGCTCTAACCTACAGAATTTTATATTGCAATCCCTGGGAAAATAAAAAAGACAATATTTTTTTTTTTGGGGGGGGGCAACAGTTCCACTTATATGGTCCACTGTTCATAGATTAGCCCCATTGTAATGTGATCTTTATCAGTGGAAATACTCCAAACCAACTCATGTGGCTTTGACAGCATCCAATAAAGGTCCTTTGTGACTCCAGGCAACATTACTATGCATAGTAGTCCAGCTACTTAGCTGTGATTTTTTTTTAACAAATAAACCATCTGCAGAGGTTGTATTTGCTTCACCTACAAACAGATTAGTGGAAAATGTAGTTGCTACTCATTCACATTGTAATAACCTAAAATGGACAGATGGATAAATCCAAACCGTAAAATTTGCACAAGAGACCTGTGCAGACCTGTATTGGTAAGACTAATTTACACTACAAGTTATTCCAAGTGTTTTATTGCATTTTTCCATCACTGGAAAATTGTATTGTTTTGAGATGGGCTTGTTTATTAAAAAGGCGCAGTGATGAGGAACATTTACAAAAAAAGAAAGATCTCACATGCATAATTTTCAGAGTGATTTCACATTCCATTATCATCCATGATAATGCTTGCAATATGCTTGAAAATGCTAATTAGAAGCTGTTTCAGAAGAAATGGCATAAAAAACGCCTGTATAAAACACCGACAATTGCTTAGCAAAGTTATGAAACCGCATGTCATGCAACTTTTTGTATTGTTGTAAAGCATGATTAAGTATTAATGTGTGATCAAGCCCTAAGATACTGGAAGGATAAAAAAGACTCCTTTTAGTTTTGCACAGTAAAAATAAAAGCTTTCAAAATATGAATTTTTCAAAACTGTAAAGGAAAGTATGGTCTTTGGATATTCTTTGTGACCAGACAACTTGCTATGAATTGCCATTTATACCATGTCTTATACATATTCCTGTAGGTTCAGTATAATTAGGGCTTGCCATGTGCCAAAAATGTGGTCTATTTCCACAAACTGTTTTTGTCATCTTGTTTTTGCTGGTTATATTATAAAGGTATAGTGAAATGAATTATCTACAAAAATAATAATGGACAGAGGGAAAGGTTTGGTAGCCGGCAAGAAAGAACAGAAACCCATATTCAAACAAAAAAGACAAATATACTTATTGATGTCTGTGAACGTTTTCATTTATCAAGGTCATGGTATAGATAGTAGTATCGTATGTACTCTCCAGCGCCTCAGGATATGCACAGCCAAAAGGGAAGCCAAGGGTACCAGGACAGCGACAACCAAAGGAAATGTTCCAGGAGTGCAGCCCTCCTCAGATGGGGAAATCAGCCACTGGATAGAGAGAAAACAGGTGGCGCACACACCTAGTGCATTATCCAAGGTTTATTGTAGGAATGAAATAATAAAAACATACTCACAGACGAAGCATGTATCTAAAAAGCATAGAAAAATGACAATGGCCACAACGGCGGGCAAGGTGTTCTCACTGTCAGTGCGGTCAAAAGCCATTTGACCGCACTGACAGTAAGAACACCTTGCCCGCCGTTGTGGCCATTGTCATTTTGCTATGCTTTTTAGATACATGCTTCGTCTGTGAGTATGTTTTTATTATTTCATTCATTCCTACAATAAACCTCGGATAATGCACTAGGTGTGTGCGCCACCTGTTTTCTCTCTATAGATAGTAGTAATTAGTCCTATTCAGCTGGACTTGAGATGTTCAAGATTCACACAGGTAGCACAGACACTTACAGTGAAAGTTGTAGAATCAAACTACCCCGTTCTAGTTACGTAAAACCATCCTTGATGTGGAAATATTTAAACAGCGAGAAAAATTGTGGATTACAGGAACAACCTACTCAACATCAGAGGTAAACAACATGGATTTACCCTTAGCAGTCTGCACCTGGGTTCTACAGCAAAAAGTCATTGTCACATACCTGTATGGGAAGCTCAAAATGATGAGGGTGGCCTATTGCACAATTCCCACCTGAGCACCCCTGAAAGTTGGGACAGGGACTGCTAGGGCAATTTAAGGGTGCTGGTGCCAGGAAGCTGAAACTGCAGACTTGAACTTGGGAGTGCTGGTGTCAGGTAAGGAGACGCACAGCAATGAAGACACCACCAAGACCAGTAGAGGGTAGAGCCAGGTCACAAGCCGAGTTTGGTAACAGTCGAGCAGGAAGGTACCAAATCATAAGCATGATCAAGGTCAGTGTCAGGAATGGACTGGCCAGCAATGGTGGGACTCACCTGCCTTTTGATCTGCAGTACCAGGGCTGGCCAGCGGGTGCTCCCAGCAATCAGAGACTCAACCTTTCAGCCAGCTAACACCTGGAACTGATGATACTGGTGTATTTAAGGGATGGCCAGACTTGCAGACTCTGCCTTGGGTGTTGTGTTTGTCCTGGGCCCTGTATCTGTCCTGCATCCTGTTTCTGTTCCTTTGCTGACACTGCCTGATCTGAACCGCTGCTGACTTCTCCTGCTCTGATCCCGGCTCGCTCCTGACCATCCCTCTGCCTGACCCTCTGTACCACGCTGCTTGCTACCTGTTCTGATCCCTGGCTTGTGACCCTGACCATCCCTCTGCCTGACCCTCTGTACTACGCTGCTAGCTACCTGCTGAACCTGGCCTGTGACCCCGACCCATCTCCGCTTGCTCCCCCTGTACCTACCTGCCCTATTGATATTGACCCGGCCTGCCTGACGACGCTTGCTTGTATGTACTGTTATCTGTGGGTGGTTGGTTTGGTTTGTTTGCACTGTATTATGTTTTAGTATTGCACTGCGTTTATGTTTGTATGGTTAGTGTTAATAAATTATATTGTTTATCACATATCTGAAGTCTGCGTTTCCCTGCGTCAGTCACACACCTCTGGTCACACCTGGGAGCCCTGACAGTCAGAGACTAGCAGAGGTTGTAGCATGCAGGCAACAGGGTAAAGAGTCAGTAAGCAAACTCTTGGTCAAGAGTCCTGTCAAAGAGATTCATTTTCAGAATTCACTTTGAATCTTCGGTATTTGGTTTGTTTTATTCAGAATAGCCTGGTTGTTAAGGAGCGGGCGGCCATTGCGTCTTCAACAACCGTTGCTCATCTGCAGAATGTAAACAAAAGAAGTGCCGGTTAAAAAAAACATAAATGCTTGGGGGTCCACTCCCAGTCCATACCAGGCCCAACCCAAAGCACTTTTTCCCCATGCTGATGGGGACATGGGCCTCTTCTTCACAACCCTGGGTGAAGGTTGTTGAGGGTCTGCAGACAGGGGGCTTATTGGAATCTGGAAGCCCCCTTTAACAAGGGGGCCCCAGGTTCCAACCCCCCATGTGAATGAGTATAGGGTATGTAGTACCCCTACTCATTCACCAAAAAAGTGTCAAAAGTTAAAAGAAAAAAAAAAAACTAGACAGTCCTTTATTAAACCCCTCAAAAGATAAATGTCCCCCCGAAGTAGATCCAACATCAATCATGAACGCCGACTTGCAAAAAAAAAAAATGCCACCCACTGAACACAACTGGTCACGGGTGACCCCACCCCCATTTTTACCTGTCATTTTTCGACTGTCCCATCACTCACTGAATGACATCAGCAAGTGTTTCTCCTCCCGCACTCGCCTAATGATAAGCCCCCCCATCTTCAGGCCCTCACAACCACCACCCAGCCCCCCTCCCCCAAAGCCCCCCCCCCCCCATGTTGAAGGCATGTAGCCTGATATGGTTCATGAAGGACAGCGCTGGTATAGATTTTGGGAGAGACCCCACACCAATATTTTTTTTAAATTTTGGCATGGGGTTCCCCTCAAAATTATTACCAGACCTGAAGGGCCTAATATGGATTGGAGGGGGACTCCCACAGTTTTTTTTTTTTTTTTAACGACACTTCTTTTGTTTATATTCTGCTGCCAGCGTGGAATCCCATTGATAGCAGATAGTCACGGTTGTTAAGGACAAGGCGGCCTCCTACTCCTTTACAACCATCTCTTCTCAATGAATTTGAAAATGTCATTATATTTTTTTTTTCTGATTTGTTCAGATTCGTTACGATCCATCTGAATCTCCAAAAATTAAATTTTCAACCAAAAAAAACAAATCTGAACGAACCGAGTTGTACATGTCTAATTCTGTTGCGGTATATTGGGCAAGGTATGGCCAAGATACGTACACATATTTAGCCATTGCCATTGTTTTGGTGGAGTTTACTGGACCCAAACTATGTCAATAATCATAAACAAGAGCTTTCCCTTTTGACATACAGTATTTGACCCATGGTATCTATCCATGGATACTATAGTGCCATCTGGGGTTCAGATTAAGGAAATGTTTGCATCAAAGAAATTGGTGTAAAGCTGGTCATACATAGAACGGAATTCAGCCAGTTCAGCATGAACTGTCTGAATTTCCATCCATCTGCTGTATGGCTGTTCCTGGTCATGAGAAGTCAATCTATCGATCCACTCAATGCGCATTGTTGAAATCTGTAGTAATGACTTTCAGGAGGATGCTTTTTCAGGCAACCTCCCAATACAACTGCTTTACTCCCAGGACGTCATATGACGTCCACCCGGATGAAGTGGTTAAAAAACTGAAACCATTGCATTCACGTTATCTAAAGTAAAAAACAACTCTAAAATTGTGTTACCTCTACATCACTACATTACTCACACTGCTCTGTTCTGAGGGCTGGTTCACACCATGCCAACACAGGATTCACATGCAGTTCTTTTCGGTGTGTTTTCAGCCCATTGATTTATAATTGGCTAAAACTGCACTGCATCACACTGAAAATTAGTGCATGCACTACTTTTAGAAGCACATTGCAACCCAATTTGCATGGTACTTTTGTACCATGTGATCCGGTGTGGGCAAACGCACTGGGTTTGTAACCTGCATTTGGGGTGTCATTAACGTACTATTGACACCCACTGCAGATTGCATCTACAGTGTGTTTTGAACACGGTGCGGCAAACACCCATGGAATGCAGGATTCCTCCGCCGCAATCTGCTGTGAACAGCACTGAAACTGCACACAGGCCGATCACTGCAAGAGCTATCAAGCATCCCTTTCACTCGAGCAACCAGCTTGCAGGATGCACACAATCTGTAGTAGCAGTACCAACAAGCGACGTCACAGCAAGCAAGTACTCCTTCTGACACATTTCATCATGATATGGGACATCAGACAGTTACATGGGTCCAGCTTGTATACCATACCTATGTAAAAATATGCCATGCCTGGAATTCTTCTTTAATATTGAACCATTCAAAATCTTCAGTGGCTGCTACTCTTTCTTTTGTGACACTTATATTTGCACTACCTGTCTTCTCTCTCTTTAGGGGATGTTGGGGCTTTGATTCTTCTATTTTCAGCTTACCATTCTTCCTCTGAAAGCCCTGTAGTGAACTTTATTTATTTATTACAGGTACTTATATAGCACTGTCAATTTATGCAGTGCTTTACACATATATATTTTACATTCATATCAGTCCCTAACCCTCAAGGGATGTACAATCTTGTATGTGTCTTAATGTACAAACTTACATTCATACATATACATTGTAGGGCCAATTTACCTACCAGCATGTCTTTGGAGCAGGGGAGGAAACTGAACCGGAGTACCCAGAGCAGGGGCGGACTGACAACTCATGGGGCCTCTGGCAATAGGGGATCATGGGGCTCCTGTGTCCTTGCCCAAACTCAAAAAAGACTATGAAAAAGGTACCAGGGGCATCTCATGGGGCCCCCTACTGACCCTGGGCAGTGCCCGAGTTTCCAAATGGTCAGTCCGCCCCTGACCCAGAGGAAACCCACACAGGCACGGTGAGAGCTTCCAAACTCCAGGCAGGTGGTGCCATGGTTGGGATTTGAAACAGTGACCTAGTACTGCCGGAAAGAAGTGCTAACCATTTAGCCACTGTGCTGCCCACTGTACTTTGCTTGGCATCCTGAACTATACCTTTCAAATTTGTGTTTAGGGATGGGCAGAGTAAGTTTAACTAAGATGATTTTGAATAGCAATTACTGATTTCACTTTCTCTAAGCAAAATTTCTTAGTTTGGTCTGCAAACTATGCTTGAAAAAAAAAAATAGATTTTTCTTTTTTTAATTTAAAGGGTGTGAATTTTGGAGAGGTATATATAGGCACAATTTAGTTTATTTTATTTAGGGCTCTAGTGTGTTTTTTTTCTTTCTCTTTTATATGTGTATTTAATCATTTATTATTTTAATTTGTTTTCTGTTTTTTCTTTCTGTGAAAAAAGTTAAACAATGAGGCTTTTCTCCACCGACTTTTAATTTCATGCATTCCTACTTATGGCTAAACAGAACATTGTCTGGAGGGGACATTGTAATGTTAGTGTATCCTACTAGTTGTTCACAGTTTAATTGTTCTTAAGCTCAAAGCAGCAATGATGACTCTGTTGAATTTTTTTCAGGATCTCATGGAAGCAGTAAAGCACAGTGCTCATAGACAGCAGTGTGGCAATCAATGTGGCAAATAGTGTAGAATAGAGGCGTAACTAGAACTCAGGGCCCCAGTGTAAGAAACCATAAAGGGCCCCCCTGACCAACCCCCTTGCTTCTGAGCCTGGGGCCCTTTACTTCCCTCGCAGGGCCTTTTATTTATGGTCCAGCAGCAAGCCCATTTCACATGTTCTGTAGTGGGCCCCCTTTCTGCCTTCTTGGGTAGGGTTGCCACCTTTTCTTGAAGCCAAACCTGAACACTATAGTGGCACATGGCAAATTTGTTTTTGCAGTATACACTATGCATATATTTTGTGAATAAATAAAATCATATGGATTTTATCACAAGAGTCCCTCCTTACATCAGAGTCCACAGAGTTTCCCTTTACATCTGAATTCACAGTTTTCCCCTTTACATCTAAATCTGCAGATTTCCCCTTCACATCTGAATCCACAGAGTTCCCCTTTACATCTGAATCCACTGATATCCCCTTTACATCTGAATCCACAGAGTTCCCCTACACTGTAAGGGGGGACTCTGCAAACTCTGGTGTAAGGGAGAACTCTGGGGACTCTGATTTAAGGGGGAACACTGAGAACTCTGAGGTACAGAGGGAACTCTGATGTAAGGAGGAACACTGATATATGGGGGTCTCTGGTAACCAGAGCCCCCACTTACATTAGAGAGTTCCCAGCATTCCCCCTTAATCAGGGTCCCCAGAGCCCCCTTTACATCAGAGTCTACAGAGTTCCCCTTTACATCTGAATTCACAGTTTTCCCCTTTACATCTTCTAAATCTGCAGATTTCCACTTTACATCTGAATCCGCAGAGTTCCCCTTTACATCTGAATCCACTGATATCCCCTTTACATCTGAATCCATAGAGTTCCCCTACACTGTAAGGGGGGGCTCTGCAAACTCTGGTGTAAGGGAGAACTCTGGGGACTCTGATTTAAGTGAGAACCCCTTTACGTCAGAGTCCACAGAGTTCCCCCTTACATCTGAGTGTACAGAATTTCTACTTATACTGTAAGGAGGAACTCTGATGTAAGGGGTGCTTTTGAATCCTGATTTAAGGGGGGGGGGGCTCTGATCTAAGGGGGACTGTTGTGGACTTTGGTGTATAAAGGAACTCTGATGTAATGGGGTTTCTGCTCACCAAAGCTCCACTTACATGAGAATCTGCAGAGCACCCCTTACATCTGAGTCTCCCTTACATTAGTGTACTTACTGGGATGCAGAATACTTCAGTCATAGTGGATGGATGGTGAGCTCACTCACTCTGGATGGAGGCTTAGGCATTGGCTGTTGGTACCTT